TGCACAAGGCTGATATTTCTCCATTTCTAGATCCGAGTATCACTGTACACGAGGAGCGAGACAAACACAGACTTGCGGGAATTGAAAAGGATTATAGGTATGGCTCTTAAAAAATATAAGTGAAGAGGAAACATGATGCTTCTTTTTTTTTTCTTTCCATTTGAAAAACTGAACACAATCCTAAATTGATGGAAAATATTCTTTAAATAAAACAATCATTTGTCTGCTGTGCCTCCGAGAGAACCATACAGAATGATTTCCTAAATGCATCTTTATTAGATACAAGAGCTATAAAGACAATCTATGCTTATCTGACAATCTTTATTTAGACCAGAAGAAAACAAAACAAATGAATAATTTAGGCGGTAAAGATTAATAGAAGTTTTTTCCTTGCCCTGCTCATACATATATTTTCTACTTACGGAATTAACATGCTTCTAAGAATGCCTGCTGAGAGATATTTATCATAAAAAACAGCCAATATTGCAGCAGAGCAGCTGTGGTTATACTGCAGGTGTAAAGGCAACCAAGCTGGCTCTGCACAAGGTGGTTTTTTTAAGTTTCAGTGGAAGATGCTGCATTGGTAAGGCACAGTGAGGCTGAAACTGGTTTCAGACCTGGGCTAATGCACAGAGCCATGCTGAGATGACAAGTTGAGTTGATGCTGACTTGAGAAGGGAGCTCAGTGTTCTCAATATAGGCAAGCCCTACATTCTAACTGGTAAATTCAAATTTCAAGAGACGAGGTCGTGACTGACGTAGAATCATGGAATCATTTATGTTGGAAAAGACCTTTAAGATGATCGAGTCCAACCGTAAACCCAACACTGCCAAGTAGTCCACCACTGAACCATGTCCCTAAGCACCACAGCTACACGTTGGTTAATTCTCAAGTGTTTCCCCCTCCTGGCTTCAGGGGATTGCTAACAGTATCAGAGTATCAGAAATGCCTTGATGCCCTTAGCTGGGACACAAATATCCATCTGGTTAGTAGAAGCATAACTGAAAATAATGGACACTGAGATATAGCCGTTAATATAGTCAATAGGAAAGGTATTTTGAAACTGAAACCTCACAAGAAAACTGTTCACGATACAAACATTATTAAGACTGAATCCAAGCCCTGTCTCTTTTTAGCTCTTGGAATTAATTAATTTGATCCAGCCATATTATTAACGGTTTGTTTCTAAATTGAATACCTATTCATGCTTGCAAATCACACACAAAATCATGGTTGGATATGGGCCAGGAAGAGAGAAATGTCCATAACTCAGCCTCTTCCCTGCACCTGCAAGCCTAACACTTGCTTTTCGGTTGCTCTAAAACATAAATACTCTAGTTGCATTTTGTTAGTAAGTTGTGTTCCTAGTACGTGGATTTAAATGTCTTTCAAAGCCATAGTTGAATTTCCTGTATTTTGTAATGATTAGTTTTTTGACCAGTTAAAGAAATGATTCAATAATTGGGTCATTTACAGTTGAATCTATAAGGTATGAACTGCTCCGATTATTTGTGCTACCCAATTTCTCTGGCTTCTACAGGTGTTTTACAAACTAACATTGAGAATACAAAATCATTAAGACAGTCTTACTGATTTTGTGGCAATATTCATTGGTATATGGAAGATTTCTTAAAAGTTGAAGAAAATGCATAAAAGCAGTACTTTAAAAAGTACAGTCTTTATGAATGCCATAAATCAGTTTCTTTTGCTCTATGTTTTTCAAAAATATGTTGTCCTGGTTATGTGTAGTAGCTTTGAGAAGAGGGGGTCACACACCCCAGCAAAATCATTTATCTAAAATTAAATTCAAAATATGACTCAGGATTATTTATTTTTCAACAGTGAAATGGCAACTTTGATTGTGTTGCTTTATAATGAGTAACCTGGAGTTAACCAAATGAGGCCATACTGAAAAATTTGCTCCACCATCTCTGTACACTACAGATTGATGTTTTGGTCTAATACACGCCTCTTTTCGTCTCTTTATTAATGCTAGAATTCATATGCAGGTGGAAAAAAATAATATTCCTGAAGTGTTAATTCTCAAATATTATGGCTATAAATGGAAGTCATAATTTAATTTAAAGGCAAAATCAAAGGTCTTCTCTTGTGGAAAACAGCACAAATTCCACACATCAAAGCCACTGCAAACAATAGGCTTGGTGACTCCAAGAATATCATCCCCATGCAGAGCTGCACAGATGGAAACCTCTAAAGGTCAATGGTCTTTTATGGAGAATCCTGCTGCTCTGTTCCCAGTTTGGGATGGGCACTGGGAGAAAGAGGGGCCAGCTGTGAAAGGAAAGCTTTTCATTCATTTTCAGTCAAGTTTGGAACAAAATACTTGATTTGTTTTACCAAGTTAAAAGAAAAAATTAAGTCTTTATATAAACAACAGTAAAAAAAGAAATCCCTGGATGCTATTGAATGGGTGGTAAAGATCTTAATGATTTCACATGAAATATGGTAAGCCTTGAGAACATTGAGAAAGGTCAGTGTGTTGTTAACAACATATTGCACGGTTTTCATCAAGAGTACCTATAGCGCATACCATAAATAGCTCCTGCCTGCTCTTAGAGCCTCCTCTTGCTTTCACTGAAAGCTCCCGTGAAATCCCCAGGCAACCCCAGAATATTGCAGTTTTACACTGAATTAGTAACATTTCAGTCTGAATAAAACCAAACCCACTTCTTGTATGTATGCTCCATAAGCCCTGTAAGCCCTTGCTCCCGGTTGGTAGCAGAGAACTGTCTGTCAAAAGCAATCTGGAAGAGACAGAGCTCCAGTGGATCCATTGCTGATGGAGCTGGATGCTCATTTTTCAGGAAATGTTCTACTTTTTTATTAACTCCTGCTCATATCTCTCAATTGCACACCATTGGGTGCAGTATAAACATTGAATTAAATGATGTTTTATGAATGGAGTATGTCAAAGCAGCTTGATTTTATTTTCAGCTCAGACCTGGAATGGGTCATTCTGGGTGGCTTTTGACTGCCTGGGAATGGTGAGACTGTTCGCAGAGCAAAATATTCCAAAGCGCAAAAGAGTTTGCAGGATTACACCGTGAGATTGATTTCCGAACACGTCTTAGGACTGAACTTGTTAAAGAAAGGCAGCAGTTCCCAGCTATATAATTTACTCCCAGTAGGGATCTGTCAGAGCCTGAGACTTCTTCCAGCCGGAGGATGGTGAAAGATGAACCACTCTCTAAAGAAATGCAATTAAAACAATCAGCCAAAGCAACAAAAATCCTCTGAGCGACTCCTTCCTCTGGCTTTCCTTATACATCCTGTCTCTTCTCTGTTTTGGATAATTAGATTGAAAGCTCTTCCAAATGAGGGACTGTCTACGTTTTGTCTCTTGTGTAAGACTAAGATCACTGGTGGTACTTTAGAAAATACATTAATATTTAGCATTTGCCTTTACTGCCTCTGATAGAGATATATGACCCTGGACTTGTGTGAGAACTTGCCTAAAAAGGAACAAAGAAATGCTAGTGGGAATTGACAGCAAGTAACATTGTTCCTGAGGGATTTTAGGTTGTTATGGGCTAAGGAGGAGCATAGGGAATCTCATAATTTGGCCACTTTGTGCACGGTAATGCAAAACTACACGTCAAAGTTAGAGACGTCCAGGCTGAGATTCTCAGTACGTACCCTCGTGACGCTTTAGTGAGTGATTAAAAATATATATGTAAGAGGGATACAGGTGCAGAGCACGGGAGTGAGCTCTCTGATAATTCTCCAGCATCGGCAGCACAAGAGAGCTGGTGATCCCAGCGATGAGGATGATTTGGGGACTGGAGGGTTGCCTGGGAACTGGAAATGTGGTCTGGGCTTCATGACTGGTGCCAGGGTCCTGCCACTGTCACAACCCGTTCTGCAAGTCACGGCAAACCTCCCACGCTCCACTGCAGAAAACAATCTGGCCTCTACCCAACACCAGAATTGATACGGCCATGGCAGTGTAAAACCTGGTCTAACCTGACACGTACCAAGACAAATAACAAGTATGACACTGCTTTCCACCTCTGCCCACGCAGACTTTCCAATTCCAGCTGGCACCGACTTCAGGGTCTCCAAACTGTGCTCTGTTGTACAATTAAATGCTCCTAAAGTGTCTCTCTGTGCTTTTGTTCGTGTCCTGTGAAACAGCAAGAGTGGGTCTTCACAACGTATTTTGAGGATAAATATGTTAAGCACTGTGAGGCAATTAAATAATTTAAATACTGTGGTGGCTGGGGTCATTTTAAGGCAGAATATTTTTCTGATAATTTTTTCTTTCCAAAGTCTTATTTTTCAAAGCCAGAGTTCCAGGTTCTAGTTTGTGGCATTACTGGCTAGCTGCTAAAGTAATGGCATCTGCTTTTCTTTCTTCCAGGTTTTGGAGCTTAGGGTGATGGCCCCTTGTTTCAAATCTGTCCTCTTTGTCCTTAGTCCTTAGCTCTGCAGAGCTCGGCTGTCCAGCCTCCCGGACCTCTGTAACAGATGCTATTGTGCAACGTGAGGGACTGTGATTGAAGTTTCCAGAACAGATTTTAATTAGAAACATAACTTCATACAGTAGCTTGGAATGAGTACAAGGGGAAAAAGGAAAAAAAAATCAAAACAAGAGATGAAAAAGAGAATGCCAAAAAAAAAAAAAAGAGAGAGAGAGAGGGGAAAAAAAAAAAAAAGGTCATGTTACTGGCATTTTGTACTAAAAAGCACTTGACAGGAAATACTGTGCATATCCATGAAAAAAAAAAAAAAAAGCATATAGCAAGCAGTAAGAACTATCTGAGACCCTCAAAAAGCCAGATTCTCAGCTGGTGTAAATCCACATTGCTCTGTTGATTTTCTGAGAGCTGTCACTTCTCATTGCTTTCATTTCTCCCAGCTGAGGACCCCAGCCAGTTTGGCACAAGTGAAGTCCAGAAACTTGGAATACTTGTTTGTTTTGTGTTGCCTTTTTTTTTTTTTTTTTAAATTCAATTTTAATCCATCTTTTGTTTCGTAGATTGTCCTCCACTTGGTCTAGAGACATTAAAAATTACTGACTTCCAGCTCCATGCCTCCACAGCAAAGCGGTATGGCCTTGGGGCCCACAGAGGAAGGCTCAATATTCAGGTAACATCAATTTTTTCTCCAAAGTGGGAGAAATGGCTGAAGTTTGTTCTGTGGTATAAAGAGAACCAACGGACGGTTATCAGTTCTGACTATTTGTCAGCTCATGTAATTCAAATGAAGGGGAAACACCGGAATTGTAGAAGTGAGTCGTGTTGATGGATAACCTTTAGATTTGTGGGGCTTAGCTAGGAAAAAACCTCCAAACTTGGTGTGCTGAAGGTGCAAATCCAACCAGACCTTGGGGAGTGAGCAAAGGTGGAGGCAACCCAGAATATCTCCCTTCCCAGGGATGGGAAATCATCCCAGCCCCCGTAACAATCAGCCTGGAAGGAACCTCACACTGTGAGTTGGGTTGGTTTTTTGTTGTTGTTGTTTGCGTGTAGTTAATGACAGTGGTTAGTTGAAAGTTTGGTTTTAAGTGAAGCACGTGCCCCAAGGCAGCTTTTCAGGGGAAACGATTATGCTACCAGAAAATGCCTCCATTCAGAAATCACTCGCATATAATCTGGTTTAGATGTTTTTATTTAACATTACAGATGTGCTTAGGGGCTTCACAGGACCAAATTCTATTTTCCTATTTCTTGTGTTTCTGTTTTCCGCTATATTAGTGCTGCTTTCTGAATTACAGTCTTTTCCAGTGTAAAAATGTTACTTTTACATAACAAAATACAACATTTAATACTCAAAGTCACAAACAGGATAGTAGCAACAAGCCAAGAGTAAAAAATCTCTAAAGTTTATTTCATTTATTAGTCACCTTGCATTACTAGACCCTCCAATAGATTTTTTTTTTCCTCCAGCTGAAGGGGAGGTAGTTAGGTAAGACTGGGACTAGGAAGGATGAGCTCTAATCAGCAGGGCAATTTCCATACCGCAGTGTAGTGGGGGGCAGCTGCTGGAAGGAGGGACCGCTGGTGGTTAAAACGCCACTGTGCAACTATCACTTTTTGTTTCAGCTTCTTCTCCTGCCGCAGCACAAACAGGTTTGTGAACTTGGGTTGCAGTGTGAGGTCTCACCTGCAGCCTTTGTATTTAATTCCTTTTGAGATCTGAGTGAGGTGGCTTGCTTCTTTACGTCGTGTTCTCTGCTAGGAAAAAAACCCTCGTGAATGCAGTAAATGATATGGAGATGGTAGCCAGGTGGGTTCTGTAGGAATGTTTAGTTATTTTATTACAGTTTTGTTTATATAGTGCCATAAGGCCAAGAACTGCAATACAGACTTCTGAATTTTTTGTTGGTTGTGGTTCCTCATTTATCATGCTGTTGTTCAAGTCCTATTTATTCCAACCCAGGAATGACCATACTGGTTTAGACTGGCAGTTCATCTAGCCCAGTGTCCTGTCATCACCAGTAAAACTGCCTTAAAATAGAGAAGTGTAAGAGTCTTACCTGTGGATGATGTTTCCCCTAAATATAGTGCAGAGCCTCCAGCAAGGCTCTGCTGGTTTTAACTGTAATGCTGGTTCTGTAGCAGCAGTTTCTTTTGCATTTATTGTCAAAATAAGGTTCCCATCTCTGCAGCGTAGGGGCTGTTGTCCCCTCCCTGGAGTGCTGTGCAGAGTCTTTGGTGAAAGGACCTTCTGTCCCATGAAAATTGGGGTTTATTCTCCTTCGTTCAAAAAACAGTGACTTTTTTTTTTTTTTTGCTGTTAACAAATTCTTCACGATGTTATGCTTCTGCTTTATACAGGCTTTTGTGTTGTCATTTTCTTGGGCTGTATGAGTTCTACATGGATTGATTCTTATTATTGTCCAAAAGCTGTTTTTACCCTTTTCTGGTATAGGGACTTACTTGAGTTTAGGACTGGGGGAGGCTCATATGCAGATAACCCAACAACACCTGGCTTATAGCAAAATTAATATTTTGGCTTACTTTTCTTGTATAAATGTAGCCCTTTTTCTCTGCTAAATCTTTATCTCTAATAAAGACTTCTAGTAGTCCTCTAATAAAAACTTTTCCCCCTTACTGAAAACTTATCTGTGTACTATAGACACAGTAATTCCCTAGACCCCTTGACCACTATGACTGACTCTGTTCAAAGTATGGGCTTGCATTTATTATTTCTTTAGATACTGTTTCCCTTGGGATTAGCTTAAAATTCATAGCACTTTAGATTTTTTTCAATGCCACTTAGAATTTGCAGATCTCTTCCCTGTCACTTGGGTTTCAGTGCTTAATATTACTTTGCATTAAAACTTCTGAATTTCGGTAGTATTGAAAAGATATATGGTTATAACCGAGGAGCAGCTGTGTTTTCATGCTGTTTAGTACTGTTAATGACAAAAAAAAAACCCCACTTGGCCCATGTCAGAGAGATGCTGAGAGGCCGATGTGCCACTCAGGTTTCACTATGTGAAATGTCTGGTGTGAGCAATTTTATGGGTTGCTGCCCTTGTGCCATGGTCTGGGTATCACCATGGTGCCATCACAACATTCATGTGACTGTGGCATTCCTCCCCGAATTAAGACAAAACCCGCTCTCTGCTCCGTCTCACCATCTGATGCAGTGTCAGCTGAGAAGCTTAAGGCTCACCCCAGGCAACCGGCACTACCTCTATCCCCAGGGAATTTGCAGAATAATGAAGTTTTTAAAAGGTTTCCGAGCATGGTGGGTTTTTTTTCTGTTTAGGTTATTTTGTTTTTTATAATCATTTTTTTTATGATTGCTATCATTGATTATTATTAATCAGTTGGTGTGTGCTACTGGGGTTGCAGAGCCCTGTTTATTGGAGGAAGAGTCTGCAACTGCAATGAGGGGCACGACCAGCGGTAATTTAAAATCCTTGGGAAAAATCTAAGCATAAAATAACATTTGGTGAGGCGCTCTGCCTTCAGGGACAAAAGTCATTAGTATTTGTCACTTGTAAAATAATTAGCATGGGTTAAAACCTGAAGTAATTAGTCAAATTATGTTTCTTTAGCTTCCACATTTTCCTGGTTGGAGAAATCCAAATAACACTGGAGATTAACCAAGTGAAGCTATTGTGCGTACGCCGATAAGAAGGATGCACTGTTTTTTTGTCTTTTCAGTTCCTTGTTTCACTAGTTCCTTTCAAAAATCTCCATTATCAAAAGACAAAATTATTGAAGTTCTGTTCTCACCCTGTGCTTTAATTCTTCTCCTCTTTCCTCCTGGCAGGGGTTGCTATAAATACCTGTGATGACTAATAATTTTTTTTTTTTCCCTTCTCACACCTCCTGTGATAAAACAATGTTTATGATCACCCTGCCGGGAACAGAGAAGAATTTAAGCTGAAGTGGTTTGATACTATAGATATATTTTTACTGTTGTTCTAGCTGACTTGGGGCAGAAGACTGAAATTTCTTTCTTCATTTGAATATATTTAGGCAGTAATATCTTTCTCCTCATTATAAAATAAGGCTTTGGGTACACTCACAATGTGAGCAAGTGTTCATTCTGTCTTGCGCATGTCTAAGAAAAGAAACGAATTAAAATCAGAAGTCATATAATTTGAAAAGGAGTTGTACCCTTTTGATTTTCCTTCATCTTAGCTTCTGGGTACATAATAAGCAGTTGATTTGTTTAATTTGAATTACAATTTTCAACATTCACATTTTATAGATAACTTATTCAGGAGTGATGAAAAAAATCCCTTTTCCTATATCAAAAAATATTTTTTCATAAGATGCTGCATATTGAGAAATGTTTTTGCAGTTGTCTGCAAGTGAAATATAAGCTGGGCTAGGCTTTGAGTTATTCTTGAAAATTCAGTGAAGGAAAGAAGTGTTTGCTTAAGACCTAGTCCTTACTTCCATTTTTCATCAGCCCCTTCAATCTCCTACTTATGAAGATAACACAAGGGTTTAAAATGTATAGTATAAAGTTATGTATATCAAAACTTGAATCCATTGTCTCCATTAATTCAGTATGCAGTTTTTAAATTCAGATAATATCTTACTGAGAAAAGGTAATCTTGATTTATATTCTTTGGTGCAATATTTGATGATAATTTTTCTCATCTTTTAGGAATGAAAACTTTCCAAATAAATTTAATAATAATTTTAACTACTAAATAGTTGATTGAGTTTAGAAGGTTTTTTAAAAATAGAAACAATATTTTGAAGTGACCATAGGGCACCTTCAAAACTTCAAGTGACTTAAGAAAAAAACACAGACTTGCAGCTTGAAAAGAGAAGTTTCAACATAATTCTATTGGAATTCTTTTCCTTTGGAAATATTTGTAATAAGAAATTGTCATTGATTAAATTCCTCTTTTTCAAGTGGTACTCTATGATAGTTAGACACCTGCTTCTTTTTGCCCAGTAAAAATATTCTTTTAGCTTCAGAGAAGCTGATGTCAGGAAACAAGAGTGCAAGAAGAAGTAGCAGTATAGTTTTGGATTGTTCTTTTTTTCTTTTATGCTCTTTGCCTCTATTTGAGGGTGTAGTAGCTTAAACTGTGCATAGTTGTAAGCACATACTTTAGACTCCCCATATTTGATATACAACTTAAACACATGCTTAGATTTATTTAAATCCAGTTGAAACCATGGATACTTGAGTGTGTAATTTAGGGGATTTTTGTTTTTTGTTTTGGTTTTGTTGTTGTTGTTGGGTTTGGTTTTTTTTGTTTGTTAGTTGGGGTTTTTTTTGCAAATAAGCTCTTTTCTCTCCTCTGCTTCCCTCTTCTCACTGTAACGTAAAGGGGAGCTTACACTCTGAGCATCACAGCAATGGGAAATATCCTCAGTCTCAATGAGGACCAAGGACCCCAGTTGAAGCAATGAGAGAGATGGGTCCTTGGTCTGGAGAAAGTGGTGGAATTTCACCATTGTGAAGGGGATTAGCACGATGCTCGTTCAAGGTGCTCCGCAGATCTTAATGTTTCCTGGCAAGTATTGGTTTTAAACCCTAAGGCTACTTCAAATTCCATCTTATTTTAAAATGCGTTGAAACCTTTTCTTGAAAAAGGTTATAACTCAGGTCAGTGATCTTATTTATATTCTCATGTTTTCCCATTGTTCAGTTCTCCTTGAAGAATTTATCTTCCATTGTTAATAGTTCTTCTCTGTATCTTGTACTTAGACTTTCATACTAACTTCACTTTAAATTATCAGAGAAGCAGGTGGCTTGATGTCAATTTGGTCGCTGATATGAACTTACAAATTTTTCCAGCCTTCATTTATATTTGGGAAATATTTAAGGATATCCATTCTTGTAATTGAATGGATGGCAATGATAAATCCACATTAAACACAGGTAAATTCTCATAACAATGCATGTAGCCTCAGAGGACTGTATGGAAAAACTTCTGTGTCATCTATGGCAGTAGCCAGCTTGGTGCCAAACATTTCCCAGGTTTTAATAGTAAGATAAATATCTGAAGACCTCCGATGCTGTGTTTCTTTAAATGCTGTTTCAGATGTATTTGGAATACAGCTTATTCAAAATACCTTGCAGCTATTTCTTTGAAAACGTTGAGAAGGTTATTTGGTGCTTTTGCCAGCATGAATTGTCTTAGAGATTGGTAAACAAGTTGGAGAATGGTTGGCCATTCCTGATTTTTTAACCTTTGACACTCTAGCTATGAAAATGAATAATTCTGGGACTGAAAATCGGTGGGAAGTGGTATTACTGTTTCCATATGTCCTACACTCTGTTCCTTCTGAGGGAAAGGGGATTTCTCCAACACGGACCATTATTTACACAGGTTGGAGGTGGATTTTTAGGACTTTGATAACCCTGAAGACCACATGGATAATTTGTTCTGGATAAAGGCTCTATCAGACCACAGGCGTAGACAGATGGACTGAACTGAAGCTCTGTTTATGCTTTCTAACTCTAACTTAAATTTATGTGTAATGGTTCTTAGCTTTTAAAGGGACTTTGCAGAATTTCCCCGCTTGCTCTGAGTAAGAAAATATTTTGGTCGCTCCACATAGCTATAGAGAATGACAGTCTCAGGGGTCTTAACCTGGAGCCAAGGGAGTAAGTAGAATGAATGATGACTTTATGCGTTCTATTCTTTTTTCCCCTGAAAGGCTTTCAGTTTCTTGGCTCTGATTTATGAAGACAGTTTTGCCTTCTTTTCAGGCAGGTGTTAACGAAAATGATTTCTATGACGGCGCTTGGTGTGCGGGAAGAAATGACCCATATCAGTGGATTGAGGTAGACGCTCGAAGGCTAACAAAATTCACTGGAGTCATCACCCAAGGAAGAAACTCTCTCTGGTCGTAAGTACATGCTTATTTTTTCTCCATGAGATTCTGAGCTTTCAGAGAAAGGAATTCATGTTGTGCTGTGTTTTGCTTCTTCAAGGAAAAATGAAAGAATGGAAATTCTGCGTGACATCAGGTAATTGAACAGTGGAACAGCAAAAGGCAAAGTGATTATATATGGCATAAAATTCAAGTTTAAGGGTAGAAAACTTCTATAGTTTTTATGTACATCTGGCAAAGGAATTGCCACGATTCCCCAGCTGCCTTTGTACTCACCTTGTCAAATTTACATGTGTTAAATTCCTCATTCTTTTCCTATATTTAACTTGATTAGTTTCGTTTCTAGGTTTTTTTTAATATTAGTTTAAAAGAACCACTCATCTTTGAGATTTCCTAATATGTGGGCAATCACCAAATAATTGGCAAAATTCCAAAGCAGCAAGATTTTTAAATGAACCATTAAAACAAACTTCATATCTATACTTTTTTGTTCTAAAAAAGTCTAAAAAATTCCTCTAAAGAGGAATTTATAATATAATGAAAACCAACACAGTATGTGTTGAGCAGGACTGCAGCGTTTGGTAGCCAGCACGTTATGCTGTGTTCGTGGATAAGGTGAGAATTGTATATGAGGAATACAGCAGTCAGCTGGCATAAACAGGAGCTGGAGGTGATGATTTTTTTTTTCCCCCCGATCTTTACAATGTTTGTTCAGTCTTAATGTCTTCTTGAGTCTTGTTTGAATTATGTGAGCAAATAATCTCACTTGTTTTGCTAGACCTTTTGAACAACTATGCAGGAGATGCACAGCCTGCAACCCATTCTGGTCAGATCTCTCACTTAAGAAAATGTACCATATAATAAAAAGCAAACTGGAAAAATACCACTATAATTAAGAAAAAAGAGTGTCTTTTTTTTTTTCCTTCTATAATTTAATTTTCTGGGTTTTTAAAAAATTCTTTTAACACTGCTGTGGGAGTAGGAGCCTTTTTGGCAATAAGGTTTCTATATTTGTTCCACATTGTTCTGTGTTAGGTAGATAATTACTGTAGCAAAGACTTATTCTTTTCTATGTTCATACTCTTGACATTGCTGTTCTTATCAACACCAGTGCTGCATAGCTTCGTCTTGTCGTATTGCTATTTTTAGTTCAGCTATATTGTGAGTTTACAGCAGGACTTGGTGCTCTATTTATAGTTGGCATTCACAGTTGTCTTTTTCTGGTTCGGTTTTTAAATTACTGAATTTTTCTCTCTTCCCACTCAAAGTGTTGGTGGGCAAATCTCTGAGGGTCTGCAGCAGGAGCATGGTTGATGCTGGGAGAGTAGGTCCTCCTGAATTGTTACTCAGATTTGCAGAGAAATGAGCACGTTTCTGCTTCATAGAAGCAAAGATAGTTTTTAAAATCAGTGGAGTTGATGTCTGCATGCTCTGCTTCTGCGTTAAGTCCTTAGATTTTAACAGTGGTACTCCCTGATTTACCGAAGTAGATGTTTGTGTTTTCAAAAGAGTTTAGGCTGATGTATGCATCCCTCATCTGAGCCAAGAGTGGTGTCCTGGGGTTTCCAGAGTCTCAGCACCCGGGAGCATCATACCCAGGAAGATGGTAGATACTGCTTTCTGAATTAGGTTGTTGTATCTCAAAGATGTTCTTCTTGGTGTGACTTTCTACCACAATTCCTCCAGCTGTCACAAAGTGAGGGGAGGAACAAAAAAACACCACACAAAAAAACCCCAAAACCAACAAAAACCCCATTAAATCTTGGTGAAGAAGAGCTACGCAAAGGGGAATTGAATCCAGACAGCAGTGGAGATCCTGATCTTGGAGCAGGAGTTGCCTTAGGGTGGCGTTCAGAGGCACTGGTGGCAAATCTGGGAGACAATGACCTGACTGTAGCCACAGGGTTTGTGTGCAGTGAATTGCCTTTTCTAAGGCAAACCCTGAGAGAAACAAGCTGGTAGGACTTCTAGTGGTGTGGGCAGGTTCTTTTGTGACCGTTTGGCTGTAATGGGCACTAGAAGCAAAGGAGAATCATTTATACTTTGTTGATGGTGATGATATCAAAAAGGATTATTTATGATATGAAAGTTCACACAAAAAAATGTAATTCCATCACCTGAGGCACCTCTCCAACTTCAAGAAGTTATGCGACAAGAATAAAGGGCTTTCATAACTAATAGGAACATATGTTGGAGAATGAGTTTACTTCAGGTAGAAGAGCTGAAAAACACCCCTCTGATCTGTGTTGTATTAGAAGCAAAAGCCTGCCAAGCTTGAGAGCCAAGGTAAGATTTTTATTTAAGCCTTGGAGACTTTCCCAGTAGTATATAAAAAGATCAAGACACTAGGATATATGCTAAGTTCACCAATGCTATGTGATAAAGAATTTCAAAAGCAACTTTATATTTTTTTTTCCCCTTTGTTAAAGTTTCTTGTTCAATACAAAGTGGAAAAATGTACTTAACTAGAATTCCTCTCTGAGCTTCTGCCTAGATCAGATTTGTACCTCTCCTGGTCCCTTTATCTTCCTGCTGGCGACTCAATGAGGATGTATAACATTACAAGGGAGGGCAAGCAAGGACAGCCTTCTGAATCCTCCAGCAAATAACTTTGCACCATGTTGGAGGGCTGAAAAATTTGAGCTCCTAGCCATGGTGGTGGTGGAAGCAACCCCTTTACTCATCTATAGCAGCACTGGCAACTGTAGTCTAGTTTTGTTGATGGCCCACTCCACCCAGAGACAGTCTATTCACATCAAGCCTTGCTTATTGGTTTGTGTGGGTTTTTTTTGGTTTTGTTTTTTTTTTTTTTAAGCTATGGATGAATTGAAGGTTGCAGTTGACAAAATGCAGGTCGTGTGACAAATGTGGCGTTGTCACTTTCTGTATGCTGGCAGGAATTCCTTCACCTCAGTTATTCCTCTTCCAGTCCCACTTGGAAAGTTGCTGTTTCTTGTCCATCTTCCCCTGTGGGCTGTGGCTCTGCTTGCCTGCCCAGGGCTCTTGTGCTTGAGACATGAGAGTCTTGAGGGGGAAGATGCCAAGGTGCAGAAACAGCTCTTGAAAGCACAGCTGACCTGACTAGAGAAAGAAGGAAACCATGCTTGGTTAGTAATGAATACTTGAATTGTTTAATCATTTCCTTTTTAAGGAAAAACACTTCTGAGACAAATTTTGTGCTCAAACTGCCTGGCTGTGAATTCCACGATAGTCACATGGAATTAAATCCTCCTGTTTTTTTTTTTTTCTCCTGTAACACATAAAACCATGCTTTGAACAAAGATGCCTGAATTTAAGGAGTCCTTCCTTTTGCCAAACATGTGGACTCAAAGGTTGTTGCTGTTCAGGCATCTTGGGCATTCACGGGTAACCTAAAATCATGGCAAAGTGTTCTTTTACAATCTGCTCAGATCATCCAGAAGATCTCCAGATGTTGAATTTCACAAAGTGGGATCCACCTGCCAGAACCAGAACTTCATTTTTTAATTTCTACACTGAAGATAGCAAAAGCTCGGAGGTGCCACAAGTGATGGTTGATGTGAATACAAGCTATGAGGGTATGAACTGAGAACACCTGGAGATCCATGTTACCACACTGCTTCACTATGATTATCCAGTAGTGGACAGATGGACATCAGTGACATCTCATCATCTCATGGCAGAGCTGTTCTGTTTGCCTTCCTAGAGGAAGTTGTGTGATTGATGTGACCTTTTAGAAAGGCATGTGACATCCTCCTCTGAGAGGTGGATGGTGCCATAGCTGGCCTACAAGAGGGTTTATGGCTGAATATTTGGGGGAGGAATATAATATGTAAGAAGTTTGTCAAGAATCTGAAAAACATAGGAAACGTTTCCCACAACCCAAACAATTTTTTGATAATTCAGCACCATCTTTTGTATCAAGAGAAAACCCACATGTCTAAATAGACTCAGTGAGTACTGACTGTAATATAAAGCCTCAGACTGTTTCAACGCAGTGGATGTTTTGACTTTTAGAAGAGATTGCAATGTTTTGGTGATTAAGATGTATTTGTGACTTGATCCATTTTATTAAAATTAATCTTTCAATAATGTTAAATCATGTCGCTGCATGTCATGGAATAACAAAACAACAATTAGAACAAGCATGAATTAAATAATCTATGCAGAATGTTCAAATTTTAAAGCAAAATTCCTGAAATGTTTAGAAAAAATTAAAATAGACTTATTTCCAAATATGTTTTCTTTAAGACCTTTCAGCCTCATTAAAATGTTGAAGATTTTTTTACTTCTCTATATGATATTTATCTATAAGAAAACAAAATGAGGGGGTGGCAATTTTCAAAGTCTGATTTGGGTAGAGGTTAGTCTGCATGCCTTGAAAAGTTGCAACAGGGCTTGAAAGGCTAGTTGGTTGGAGGATACAACAGATCAATGGCGTTGCTTGCTGGAAGGAAGGAATAATTACAATGACTTAAACATGTTGCTTGCTTCTAGAGTGACCCACCTTAACTGGTAGTTTTTGTTCATCATTGTTGAAGCTATATTTTAACTAGAAGCTAGTGTAGACACCATTACACACTCCCTGTATCACTCGTTTGACTTCCTTGTGCCCCTCTGTAGGGATAACAAAGAGTAAATATCCAACAGATTTTGTTGTGTCTCATCGTGCTTTTTTCTAAAGGCAAGACATTTGTAATTGAATAGGGGAATAATTTTGCAATTTTCTATAGTACACCCTCATCATCAGCCCGCTCTGTGTTCAGCGTAGCTCTTCACGATCCCCCAGCATCCCTTTTGACAAACTGTCCTTAGGGAATCACAGGTCTGTAACAAGCTGGGTAGTTGAGGATAAATTTAGGTCAGTGCAATTTACTTGCTTCTAATTTTGGCAGTACAGCATTCTGCTCTTTCTTTAGTCCTAAAATGAGTGTGTTGCCCCAAATTTTAATTTACTGCTGTCCTCACTGGCAGTTCCTCAGGAGCTGAGATTTGCTGTTATGGACAGTCTGCATGTGAGGATTGCAAGGTGGTAA